GGGAAAGAGGAGGTTTAAGAAGACTCAAGGTGGGCGGTGCACAGGGGAGGCGTGGGAAGAGTCTCAAGCTAGTAGAATGGGTTGGAAAAAGACAGAGGTGGCATCGCTTTCAGTCTAGGATTATATGGGTCTGTACCCATAGGTATTTATGGGACTTATTCACACAAGCAATAGGAGAGAGCAAAAGAAATTGGTTTTCCTACAAGTAAGAAAGTTTGTGGGCCTGAGAGAGTCCGTCTATATCCATGGTTACAGAGATGTTTTTAGTTACGTAGTTGAATCCTGTGCTGTATCATAAACACCTTAGAGCTCTTCATTAAAATAAGGCCAAAAGAAGCATGTATGTAAGATTGCGTTTAGGTAAACCACAGTCATATTAAAAAATGAAAGCTTTTTTCTCAAAGAAGAGGAAATTATTTTTATGTTAAAAATTTGTGAAAAATATGTGAAATACATTATGATAGTAATCTAACGTGATGCTTCAGGAATACTGCAGTCTTCACAGCTGGGAAACTTAATAAGTGTATTTCAAGATTCTCTATGGTCCTGAAATAACATCAGTTAATTAAACTGTAATCTCATCCTGCCTGGTTGTTTTTGCTTTGAGCGTGAGTTCTATGGCAGTAACATATAAGACACTAAACTAATACCAAGTTCTTTGCCTTTCCTTGAACTGGAGAAGGCCTGTACTGTTGGTTTGACATTTTATTTGGTTTTGGTGTTTTGTTTTAAAAAGGCTTCTTTGTGTTCAAAACAGCCTTGTTCGGAGGAATGGCTGTTGATCAGTAGTTTTACATAACAAGGTACTTCCCACTGTATGAGTTTTTCTTGTATGTAACTTCTTACTCTTACTGAGAATATGGTTTGGTCTGTTTCTTCTTGTTTTTTTGTTTAGTGTTTTTTATTTTTTTCTCTCATAGGTTTCCATATCTGAGTGGTCCAGAAACTACAGAAAATTCATGTTACAGTTAAAATCTTTCTCTTCTTTTCAGACTTAAAAGTTTCCCTGAACTAGTGGTCTTCCAGTGCTGCTTCTTGGGCCGTTTCTTGAATCCTTCTAAGGTCCAATATTCCAAGGTCCATCTTTGTATTTGAGATTAGAACAGCCAAATTCACCATCCTCAAGTAAAACACAGGTCTTTTTTAGTTTTTTGGCTAATGCATGTTAAGCTTGAGTAGTTTTCAGTCTAAAAAAAAAAATTCTCCTGTCTTGTCAAAATGGCTACCATTGCGTGGCTTTCTGTAATCATTTAGGGAGCTGTTAACCTTCCAAGAATCTCCAGATACCATTTACTCCTTCCTTCTGGAAGTTTCGGGAATTATTCTTACGTTATTTCTGTCCAAGCTCAAAAACTAGCCCTTGAATTGTACAAGCAGCTCATGTCTGTCCTCGTATCTCTTACTATGTCTCTTGCATTCTTAGAGAAAACAAGTGCATCTGACCTGTAGCTTTGGCCTCTGAAGTTCAAGGTAGTGAGATTAATGAAACCACAGACACTGTTAAATTTAAGGGTGCAGTTAGTCCATCAGGGGAGATTTGTAGAAATTATACCTGACTTTTGAAAGTACTTAACTTTTTATCTTTATAGCTCTCTAGAAAATGAATGTGAGTCTGAACACGTGGGTCATGTTCAACTTTGATACAGTCACAAATGAAGGGTTAACATTACAGAAGTTTGCCTGTTCTGATTTTATTATTTGATGTGAAATAAATGTTGAGTCATGAATTCTGCGTAAATGAATTTTAAAAATACGATAACATATATAAGTGTACACATGTAAACCGAAAATGTAAACCACACGTCATGCAAACATAGTAGGTCCTGAAAGGAGAGTTAATGCTTTACACTGGGAGTTACATATTGGTAAAATAATTTGATTCTCAGGGTTTCCATTATGTTTGGCATTTTAATGCTTTTATTTGTCTGTCTTCAGTTGTTCTTTTTAACTTTCCTCGTAACTGTTCTCTCAGGTACTCCCCTCTATTTTAGCGATTTCTTATTTTCACCTTGCTGCAAGATGTTTTGTCTTAGATATCTGTGATGAGTAATAGTTTTCAGTGCAAGATAGTCTTACGAAGATTCCTTTTGGGCCTACAGAAAGTTCATAAAATATGAGTTCCTCAGCTGCATTTTTTTAGAAAAATTTTGATTGGTTGATTTCATCACACTAGACCCCAATCTCCCAAAGTGATATGCGTGTGCACTTAAGTTTCCTTAACAAACAGAGTTTGTCCAACCATTTCATTCTGCAGATTAGTTTCTCAGATGCGCAAAGACCTTTTTTCTCACGAAGCAGTCTTAAGTGCAGTACTGCCTGCACATGGAACAATGCTGTTCAGTTGTTACGATGTGGAGCTTCACTATTGTAGTTCTGGTTCACAAAAATTACATTTTGAAAAAATGGGGTGAACTCTTAAACAAAAACCTTATTCTAAAAAGAAAAATAGAGTTGTTTTTTAGGGACTATATTTCTTTGTCTGGAATTGCTATAGAAAGTACCTGAATATATGTATTTGTTGTAGCTAAGACCAGGAAATACAGTTCTTACAGTTATGGTATCAATTGCGTTAGAAACTTTGATATCAGTGCTTACAGAGAAGTAAGTACTTATGTTACTAAAATGCAACAAGAACCTGAAAGAAGCCTTCCCCTTTGACTCTAAGCTGGATAATTCTGTTCAACGTTTCTTTCCCAGGAAAGCAGATTTACCCTATTTTGCGTTTTCTTTTGGTACAAAAGAGTTTGTGCCTACTTAAAGCACCTGTTCTGTGTGTTAATTGGATATCAGAATAAACTTTGTCTAATATTGAAGCAGTACTTGTTACTACTTGCAATCATCTGTTGATTCAGGCAATTACTCCTAGCAGCTTCTGCCAACTGAGATTTTTTGAAAACAAATTGTCGTATGTGATTTCAAAGAATGCAAACCTCTCTATGAAAGTTAACGCAGTTAAACAGTTGGTGGTTCTGTTAATAGAGGCTGAAGAAACAGAAACAGGCTATCCTTACAATTTTGTTAGTCCAGGCACCTATATTTCCAGAGCTCCATAAAGATAGGTAGTGAAGGTCAAGCTTTATCTCAGATGGACATCAATATACTCAGTTCCCTTGAAGTAATTACATGGGGTGGGCATTTGCTGCCTCGTCTGTTTCCTGTGCCTTTTTTTATTCTTTGAAGCATACAAGTATCAGTAACATTGGTGAATATCAGTGATTGCTTTCACCGGATCCCTTCAGAGAGAATACAAGAGCCTTTGATCTACTTACCTTTGAAGGCTGTGGTCCTTGGACTCCAGACAATGTCAGGAGCTTGGCTTTTCTTTTAAGCCATGATTTGGCATCCTAACATATTTTCCTTTTTCTGGAGGAGTCCCACGAGTTTGTCGTTAAGCCTTAGTGTCTGGAAAGTCTTGGAGACTTTCATTTGTTATGCTAGAACACTTGCATGTCTTTTTAGCTGGACTTGATGTAGGATAAATGATACCAAAGTTGGAAGCTATTCAAAGCTGTTAGAATTTATTTTCTCACAAAAAGATGGTTATAATAGTTGAAACCAAGCAATCAGGCTTTTCTGGGTTGCATAATTTATTAATTAGCTCTGAACCCAGTAGCACTATGTAAATTGGAAGCAACATGGAATTTGGCTCTCCATGTGAATTTACTTTTCTTGAAGAGTGAGAACATGACAGAATAAATTGAAACTCTTTTTGCTGTGTTTTGAAAGCTGTGGGAGTAGAAGCTACTTTGTGGGACTGAAACAGGCAAGTTCTTCTCTAAGAGTAAGAAGTAACCATCTACAGATAAAAGGAAAAAAAAATCAGCTGGGAAGAAGCAGAAGCACGTAGGTATTTGGAGGACTGATAAAGTGGTCCTTCAGCTAAAAAGATTTGTTGATCTTTAAGAAATAGGTCCAAGTCAGGAAGTGACAATATTGATTCAAAAGTTTCAAAGTTGGAAGAACTTTGAGCCCTTTGCACTACTTTCAGTTCTAGTAAGACAGAAGTGATAGGAGAAGAGACAAGGAAATGAGAGACACCTGGATGTTCCTACTGGTAAGAGTTACAGCAAAGAATGCTTCTGGTTGAAAGGGATTGCAGGAGATCTGTATTCCAACCTTCTGCTCAAACCAGGATCAACTATGAGATCAGGTTGCTCAGGGCTTCATCCAGTTAGGTCTTGAAAACCTCCAAGAATGGAGATGGTGCAGCCTCTCTGGGAACCTGTTCTGCTGTTTGACTGTTGTTAGGTGGAAAAAGTTTCTCCTTGTCTGAACCTCTTTGGATTCGATTTGTGACTGTTGTCTCTTGTCCTCTAGCCATACATTGCTGTGAAGTGACTGTCTGCATCTTCTTGATAACCTTCTTTTAGATATTGGGGAGCCAGTTATACACACTTTAGTTACCTCTCCTCCACCTGAACATACCAAGTTCCCTCAGTTCTTATATGTGCTTCAGCCCCTGACCATGTTGGTGACCATCCCCTGAGCTCACTCCAACTTTTTTCCTGTGTTATGGGGGAGGTGTGTGCGGTCATTATCCTAGATGTGTTATAATGAGTACCAAATAAAAGGTACAAAGGATCACTTCCCTTGATCTTCTGGCTATACTACTACTAATACAGCCCAGGATGCTCTTGGCTAACTCTACTTGTGTGCTATGCTGCTTATTTGTGGCTAGCCTCCTGTCTACCAAGATTACCAGGTCCTTTTTGAACATAGCTGCTTCCCAGCCAGTTACCAGCCATATCACTTCAGAGGGCTCATAATTCCTAAATTCAGATCTTTGCACCTGTCATTGTTGAATCTCAGAAGGTTCCTGTTGACCTGTTCCTCCTCCCTGTCTAGGTTCTAGGGAATGGCAGCCCTTCTCTTGAGTGTATCGGCTGTGTTCTGTCATGACCTACACGCACCCAATTCACTGTTGTCTGCAAACTTTGTGATTGCACTCTTGGCCTAAGCCAGGTGATGGATAAAGATGTTAAACAGATTCTAATACAGACTCCTACAGTATTCACTTGTTAGCTTGTTAGCAGCCACTACCATCTCAGCTTTATTATCAAACTAATTTTATCAATGTTGTACTTCACATATCTAGACTGAAGTCCTAACTTGGCTATAAAAATACTGTGTGAGACAGTGCCAAAAGCCTTGCTCAAGTTAAGTTATATTTAATCTTCCTTTCCTTTTGTCCACAGATCTGGTCATTTTATCATGGAGTATAACTGGATTGGCCAGACATGACTTAGCCTTGGTAAATCCTCACTGATTGTTCTCAATCACCTTTTTCTCTTTCATGAGCACAGAAATTTGTTCCAAGGCGACTTGCTTCGTGACCTTCCTGGGGCTGGAATGAAGCTAACTGGTCTATAGTTCCTTGGCTTAACCTTTTGCCCTTCTCCAAATATAGGTGTGACATCTGCCTTTCTCCATTTGCCAGGGACCTCCCCCAATCTCTTTCAAAGCTGATAATGAGCAGCCTTGCTGTGACATTGGCCAGCTTTGTCAGAATATTTGAGTGTAGGTGAGCTGTCCTTTTCAATTTCTGTGGGTTAAGGTCTTACAAGTAATCTCAGACTCAGTCCTTACCTACTGCTAGCAATTATTCTCTTTGAGCCTTTTTACTGATCATAGAGGTTTGGGAGACCTTGTCAGGGAAGACTGAGGCAAAAAAGGCCTTGAGTGTGGTGTCCTTTTCTGTGTCTGCTGTTGATAAATTACCTGGTCTGTGTAGAAGCAGGTCCATGTTTTCTTTCCTGCCCTAATGTAGTGGTAAAATCTTTTCTCAGTGTCTTTGTCACCCTTTGCAGACATCAATTCTGGGTGAGCTTTTGGCTTTCCTGACACCATGCCCACATACTCAGGCAATCTTTCTAAATTCTTCCTTGGATTTGTGTCCGTGCTTCTGTCTCCTGTGTGCTCTTGTTTGGCCTTGTAGCTTTGTCGTGAGTTGCCTGTTTAGCCGTGCCAGGCTTTTTATATATCTGTTTACCTGAGTACCAGGAGGACTGATACAGTACAAGAACCGTTTGAAATTTTGGGAACAGTCTGCTAGTGCAAAAATTTGAAATCATGCCATTCTCAGTAGAATGTAGTCAGGTATGTGGAAACTTTAGGAGCAAGCTTTGTGCTTGAAGTCAGGGTTGATTATGCAAGATGTGACATGGTCTTTCTGCAGAGAGCTATTGTGTTAATTAAAATATGATAAATTCTATTATATGTAATTTGGAGGCCATATGACCAAATTAATTTATGACTGGAAGCCTAACACAAGCATTGGTAGCTGAAAAGAATGTAACTACTTCTTGAAAAGCCTTTCATAGAAGGAATATGTAACTTCGTTAAAAAAAACCCCCAAAGTAACTTCAGAAGTGATATGATGTGATAACATGATATGTGCCGTACTCACTGATTATCTTTAAAAGTATGTAGTATACGTAACAAAAGTATTTTTGATAAAAATGTTCTAATGCTGAAACTTTACAGATTAGAAAGAGAGTGTTTCTCCACAAACAAGCAAATGAATGAGAAGATTGAGGAAAAGAAGAAGGTAATTAAAGACCTCTCTGAGAAACTAGGGAATAGTGAAAAAAACGGCAGAGAATTACAGGAGGAGCTTGCAATGGTAAGACAAAAGGCCTGTGGCACTCATTCTTTAGGGTTTTTTAAACGTACTGTGTACATAATCTTCATTTGCTGTGCTGAGCCATGGAAGAACTCTGCCATTCTGTTACTCTGATTTTACTTACGTTATTTTGTTTTGTAAAACATGGGTCAATACAGCTAATACACTGGAGAAGCTAATTTGAAAATGTATTTTAAGTGATACACCATGTATTTAGCTGAAGAGTTATTGAGAGCAAACAGTTATTTTAAAAGTACGGCTATGAGTAGAGAGTAACTTGTGTTTGCTTTCCTAACAAAGAAGACAATTTGTAGATATGGATTATGATTCTTTGTGGAAAATGTTCTTTGTACCCAAGCTTTTTTTCTTCTCCAAGCCTTATTACCTACCATTGTGGGCTTGTTTATTTCTATTTCACTATTACTTTGTTTTCGGTGAAAGCATTTCACTGTAAAAATTGTTGAAAATTGCTTGTTTGAAGGTGACAAAAGCAGAGGGATTTTTGTTTGTTTGTTTGTTTTGCTGTGGATTTGGCATGTTGGATGTATTTTACTGCATTATTTTCTGAAATCTTTCTCCTTCTATATGACCAACTGGGGCCTTCCCACTGTCTTTACCTACCTCAACTTTGAATAACAATTTTGCCATCCTGTTGCATAGTAGCAGGGACAAAGCAAAGATCTTAGGATATCTAGAAAACCCCCTCTCCTTCCGTTGTGTAGTGGCAATTGCAGTATATCTATACGTAGCCAATGTAAACTTTTTTTGATACCGGCTTGCAAATTTCTCTTCTTTCTCTCTCTTGGAGCTGTGAGTTGGAAGGTAAAAGTGGTCTGTTCCCTGCTGCTGATAAGCATTGTGCTAGTCAGTGAGAAGGAGCAGAGACCCGGATCAGAGGATCTTCAGACTTGTTGGTGTCTTCTGTTCAGCTGATGCAGTTATTCCATATGTTGTCTTAGTGTTATCCACTTCCCAGACAGATTGGTAACTAATAAATTGAAGAAAAATCAAATCAAAACGCCCCTCTTCCATCTGGGAGAATCACAGCTTCTTCTATGCAAGCACTAATATATTGAAAGGCATTTACTGGCCTGGTTAACTTGAGAAAGTCATCTTGTCAGGCACAGAAGGAATACGAAGAGACAAAAGCAACTGTCTTGCCTAACTACAGTCAGTGATGATTGCTGTTTATTGCTATAAAATACAATTCCAAGGTGAAAAATTTCTACTAGGAACCTTGAGCGCTTCCTAGCTGTCGCTGTGATGAGTTTTCCTTTTAGTTTTGTGTTCCTTAGTAAAATGTATGTTATACCTGACAACAATTCAGGACAAAATTCTGTTCATGATCAAGGTTTCTGGAAATGGCAACAGTATTAAATGGTGTACTCAAAATGAACATTACATTACTGAAAGGTAAAAAAGCAGAATAGATTGTCTCAGTTAAAAGAAATGTCTTATTCATCGAGCCGCTTGTTTTAATTGTTTTACTGGAACTATTTTGACCCACCAGACTGTCTTGAACAGGTAATAAAAATACTCATTTTCTGAGGACTTATATTAGTGGTCCCTATGGGATTAGATTTTTATCACCTTGGATGGCTTTGTATTTTTCCTGAAGACTTTTGTATTTGTTTGGGAAGCAGGAGTGCCTGTGTGTGGTCTTGTTTACTTAGTCTGGACAGTTTTTTGTTCTTTTTCTTCCCAAAATGAAAAAGCAGAAGACTTTAGCAGAAACTAAGTATAAATAACATTTCATATACTGTTATTAGGCTTCCCTATACCCATGCCAAAATTGTGTGAAAATGTCAGTGCGTTCTCTTCCTTCATTTCCCCTTCATGCTTTCTTGATCTATTCATTACCTTCTTATATTTTATACTATTGGTAGACATCCTGAATATATCCTTTCCACTCCGGTCTGATAATCTTCTATTGGTTTCTCACTGTACTGCTATAATAGAAGTTAATGTTTTTGTTTGTAAAATACTTGGGAAATATAACCAAATCAGGGAAGGCTCTTTGTTTTTAGAGAAGCAGACTTACGCAAGGACAAAATACGTTCTTTGGAAACTCTATATGAAAGAGAAGAACTTTTTTTTTTTATGGCTCAGCTGAATGTATAGTAATGTAGTTATGCTGCTTTTAATTTTAAATATCAGCATGTGGCAGAAGTTTGCCAGAAATTTGCATGGATCAAATGTGATAGGTTCTGTTGGTATCAAACAAAACTGCTTATGAAAGTTCAGCATGAACAGACTCTCAAGATTTCCATTATGTTTTTCTGAGGAAATTGGTCTCAGGCTTGTCATTATTTCCAGCTAGGGTTTTTAGAAATTTTTAGTTTGAAGAATAGGAATTTGGAAGAATGGCCGTTGTAATTCAGAACTTGTTTTAAATTGAAGCAGCCCCAGCTGTATTCTTGCACCATGGAAAGAATAAAAGGTGTCTTCAATAGTTTTAAAAATTAGTCAGGATATTTACGTTTCTGGCATCTAGTAGTGGATGATCTTTAACTGTTAATACCAGACAAGCAGGAGTATGTTCAACCTTTATTTATGACAAACGTATATTGAAATTTGGTGAACTTGCCAATTCACCAGGATGCATATAAAGAAATGAAAGTCATTAAAAATAGTGTATTTTAGTACAAATTCCTTCAGTTTGGAAGAACTGTGTATTCATTTCCTTCCCTTTGTATAAGTAGCATAATTAGTGTATAAGTAGTGTAATAGATTACACCCAGAGCCTGTCTTTTGGCATGTAGCATATACATCTTTCTCTTACAGCCATGCATGCAGTCATGTGCTGTATACATCTCAGCTGCCTGTAACAGCCTTGTAGGTTATTGTAAGCTGGAAGTCAGAATGGAAGTGTTGAAAATCTAGTTCCTGGACATAGGCATTAACCATTGTTCTTTAACAGAAGTGTTTAAAGTATTGACTGAACAGACAATGAAACACCCTAAAGATTATGATACTTTCCTACAAATTCTATGGAGCAGAATCTGGTACTTAATGGCAAAGATGTAAATCTCATCTAGATGATTTATTGTGAACAGAGATTTTTCTTTCAATTTAAAAAAACTGAGGCGCAGTCTTCATTAATTTTGTGCTAATGATTGTTAAGTGTTATGTTACCTTGATTCTTGTTTTGCTTGCCTTAACTCAGGGGTGGAGTGTTCCTATCCAGATGCTACTTCTGTTATTGTCCTAATTGAAGAGGATCAATAAGTCTGAAGCATATGCTTAAATAATAGAAACAAAGAAACCAATTTTGTAATTTATTCTGGAAGTGGACAGGTCACTCAAGCTGTGATGTCCCAGTGTTTGAAAGCAGGCATCTAAAAAACACTTTTAAAGTTGCCAGTCCTTGAAGGATTTTCTCTAACTAAAAACCAACCAAACCTAAAAACTAAAAGAGATACTTTGTAACACTCTGTCCCACCAAAAGGTTGTTACAAATCTCTCTTTAGGGGATTATAGTAGTTCCATATAAAATTTGAGCATTTTTGATTAATTTTGTTTCAGGTGAGTAAAACGAATACACTAAATTTCCTGAGAAATTGTATTTAATTTACACATGGCTAGACACTTTTAAAAGACTCCTCTATAGACTTCAGAAAATTCTAGCTAATATAAGAAAATAAGGAAACTTTATTAAGTATTCAATAGTTAGATAACTTGAGCAAAAATAAAGAGTAGCCTAAGGAGGGAGATTGTCAGTGAGGGTTTTGTTTTGGTTTGGTTTTTATACTGCAATTTATGCTTGGTTGCTTAAAATTTGTGCCACTGTTCTGCTATACAGAACATCACTCAAATAAAACCATTTTTTGTTAACTGTGGAGCAGTCATTTGGAGCCTATTTCTATAAACGCTTTGATTTTGTTCCCCCCAGGTCATGCCTGGTAAACATTCTGATGCTTTTGTCAAGAATTTACCCAAATGCTTTTCAAGGAGCATCTGAACATACTGCTTTTTGGTGTCTGTGTGGATAGTTCTGGCTTTTGCACTTGCTCTGCCATCATCAGGTGGGATTTGTACTGCAGTCCGAGTGGATGGATTAGTCCGTGTACAAGGCAGCCACACAGGAAACTCCCTGTAACTGTAAACAAAGCGGAGAAAATTCTTCTTGGAATAATGGCATTGTTGCAGGTCTAAACCCCAGTTCCCTGCATAATACTACAGGGGTTTTGATAAGTTAATTTTGAAAAGGCCTCAAACTCTGCCTGTGTGTTTATTTTTTAAATGTTACTGAGCTTGAGACACAGGTGCACATTTGCAGCATCAGGACACGGGGGCTATTGTGGAAGTATGCGTAGAGTTTGCATTTATTTTATTCAACAGTGGCCTTTGGAAAATGCTGAAAAATCAATGAGACTTCATTTCTCTCCCGGAACAGGTGATGGAATTATACCAAAATTGAATGCTGGTAGTTAAAGAAAATATCTCTGCAACCAAGGTAGTAGGGAATTGCCCAGATAAATGCAGATGCCCCGATTCTGGAAGATTAGTAGAATTCTGACAGCGGGTGGAATAATTTTTATAAGTAGTAGGCTTTCCTAATAATTCTGGTTCTCCTTACAGATAAGGATACAAATCTTGGAAAAAAGACTTACTCCTGGTTGGAGCCTACAGTACTTGTAATGAAAAATACTTGGCTTCTACTTAATTTCTTTAAAAGTTGTGTTTAAAAATTGATGGCTGAGTAAATAGGTTGCCAAACACATTTTTCTACCAAAAGTTCTTTTGTCCTCAAGGGAAGTTTTGTGATAATAGGAACCTTCTTAAGGATATGAAGTTTGACGTGGGGAAGCAATACAGCATATATGGTGGGTTCAGAAAGGATGACTTCGCTCCCATATTGTTTAGTTTCTAGCCTCCTATTCTGAATATTCTGTGAGGGAAGGAATTGTGTTTGTGGGTTATAGGAAATACTCCTGATCTATTTAAATTCTTAAGTGTTTGTACAAACTTCACAAGAAGACTTTACCACTGATCTCAGGGACCTGGGATTCTGGGAGGCAGGTTTTCCCAGTAAAGACTGAGGTGAAAAAGGCATTGAGAGGCCTTTTCTGCATCGTAGTCACCAGATCCTCTGCCCCATTCAGCAGTGGGTGCACATTTTGCCCAGTCTTCCTTTTGCTGGTGAGGTACTTCAGGAGCCTTTCCTGTTGCCCTTCACATCCCTTGCCAAATTCAGCTTTGGGTGGATTTTGGCTTTCCTAAGTGTATCCCTCTGTGCTTGGACAGCGTCTCTATATTTCTTCCAGGTCACCTATGCCTGCTTCCACCTCCTTTATGCTTATTAATACTTGAATTTAGTTAGGAGCAACTTGTGCATCCATACAGGCCTCCTGCTGCCTTTGATTTTCAAGGTCATTGTCAAGGATCACCTTCAAGGTCAGGTATGGTCCATCCTGATGTGCAGGAAGTCAAGCAAAGTCAGCAGAAGGCTTACTTTACAAGTGTTCTTCCACCTGTTTCTAAGAATGTGGTCTGGGAAGCAGACTCTCTGTAAGTAAAGGCTTTAGCATTTTGTCACCTGATTTCCCTTTTGCAGTGATTTAGGGAACACTCACACCAGTACCTTTCCAGTAGTTCTACAGGAATGGCATCCCCTAACACAAACAGGATGATCGATGGACTTGCTGAGAGGGAAGTAATCTCATCTCCTGAAATAGTTGGATCTGGCAGAAGATACCTTTCAGCAGCTGCAATTGATTATGTTTGACTTCTTCACTTGTGGATTCCATTTTCCTTTTCAAAGTAAAGGCTTATGTATACTTGCTGTGTTTGTTCAGACTGAAGAAAAGAAAACTAAAGGAGTTACAACTACTGCCACAAATTATCAAGTGGGTGCTTATGGAGTAGATGTACCTACACTCTCCTTAGAAATATGCAGTGAAAGTATGATAGAAAACAGAAGTTTTAGAAAGGGAAATTCTAATTACCTGTATGGGGAAAAAAAAACCAACTTCACAGTGAGCATGGTGAGATATTGGAGCAGGTTGCCTGGAGGGGTTGTTGAAACTCCATCCTTGAGGATACTCAAAACTTGACTGGACAAGGCTCTGAGCAACCTAACCTGACTTCAAGCATGGCCCTGCTTTGAGCGGGGAGTGGGACCAGATGACCTCCAGAGATCCTGTCAGCTTAAATTACTCCATGATTTTATGACTCTACACATTCTTATTAGATACCTGTCAGTGAGACATAAGAAATTAGATCGATATGTTCAGACCCTTTTGGACTCTTAACCTGTGCCTGGATTTCCAGCACTGTAGTTTACAGTATTTTTCTTCAGTTTTTGATAATGGGGACAGTGGTTGAAAATGGGAGTTAGAAAGGAAAGATACTAAATACTTTGCAGCTGAAGTGTGGAGAAACTGGCTAGTCTAAGGAATTTCCTTTTGATCTTTATTGCTGTCGAAAAAGAGACTGAAGTTGGCTTAGGGAGTGTAGATGCAGTTAGCAAATAAAGCACAGAGAAGCGGAGAAGGCTGAATAAACTTGAATATACTGGCTAAATTGTGGTAAATTAACTAAACCAAATTAAAAAATTGGATAAGGAGATTGAAAAAAAAAAAATCTCACATTTGACTTTTCCATGGGAAAAGGTTTTTCTGGGAAGATCTAGTCTGACCTTTCTGTGGTCTTTTATGTAAAAAGAGTATTTATATTATTGTGATGCTGATCATATTGTTACATTTTGTTACTTTTAATATGTGAGGTCTTTGAGACATGAGAGTACATGAGAGTAAATTATTTTAATATGTTTGCATCCCATAAAATATTTTTACTGGAGCTCAGCAATTACAAGCTCTATTTATATAGATAATTTTATAGAGGAAGAGTTAAAACTTAGTTATTTTTTAATATATAGAAGTGGTTTGGAAATTTTTTATGAAGCGTAGTACAAACTCTCACACAAGGAAAGGCGTGTAAATGCTACAGGGGACCTAACATTGAAATACACATATGAATAATATATTAGTTGATACACAGTACATATAATTAGAATTGAAAGAGTAAAGCAAATTTATAAAATATTTAAGCTGAATAGTGAAGAACACTGCAGAGAATTAAATGCATTTCTTGGTTTTTTAGCCTGACAGTTATATGCTACCAGTATGTAGCAGTCTCCCACACTTGAGAAATTGACTGGATCCTTACACATGCAGTGAAGCATAACTAAAGCAATAGGGTTTATAGATATGATAGAAAACAATAGGGTTTTTCTCAATACAAAAAGGGTAACCTTCCATCACCAAGTAGAAATGTAAATTACTCAAATAGCTGTTAGAATTTAGAATAAAAATAGAGTAATTAAAAGTAATGAGGCATCAGCCTTTGTCCTGTGAAAACTGTGAAGTTATTTAAATTAAGTATCCTCTTGATCTGGGGCAGAAGGTCAGCTGCTAAAATTGTACATTTCTTTGAGAAGCCACAACTACATATTTCCAAGAGGACCTTGGTCTTGTCTAGAATTGTGGATGCAAGTCTTTGAAAATTGCAAGTTTTAGTATTGGACATAAATTGAAGGAATTATTTGATACAGTCCTTCTATGGTAGTTATTAAAAAAAATCTGCTGTATTACCTTTCTGCCCTGAGAATAAAGCCACTGTCTTGATTTGAACAATAGGCAGCACTTAGTGAACAGTTTTCTTTAAGAAAATTCAATGATAGGAGCTGAAGGACTCTGCTGCTTTATATTTCGTGCTTAAGGAAGAGGTTTTGATATTGAAGAAATCGCTATCAAGCATGGAAGATACTAACAATTAAAGGAGGCAAGTTTGCAATGAGAATAGGTGTGGGATTTGACTCAGTGCCAAATCATGAATTTCTAGCCTGTCTGCCAGTAGTTTGGTGTCTTTCTGGATGCCCTTGTAGGGTGTAACAATAGATTTCATTGCTTGCATAGATGGGCAGCAGTTAGTTAATGTTCATTAAGACATTTTTAAAGCCAAAGAAGATCAAAACTAGATTTTAGTGCAACTATTTTTTCTTTTGACTACCTGAAGCCTTTAGTTCTTTTTTAAGTATGTTTCAGGGGTCTGTGTTACTTATTTGTGTTGTTATGTTAGGTCTCTTGGCTCAAGAAAAGGAGTAATAAGAAATATAGCAGGAATTTAAACTTAAAGGGGAACAAAAATACCTTTGTGATCTGTATTTCTTCTGTTTACTATTTTAATGGATTTCTTTTTTCCCTCTCTTGTCTTGTCTGTATCTCCTGTCAAATAAAGGCCAAGAAACACCAGGTCTTTCTAACAGAGACGTATGAAAACAACATGAGAGAGCTGGAGTTACTCTTGGACAGCTTTGCTATGTCAGGCCAGCGGACAGCAGGTTAGTTGAAGGTATAAAATGACAGATGCATCTGTCAATGTTCCAAAGTCACTACATTGTGGGAATTCTGCAGATGCCTCTTGCATTCCCTCTTCTCAACATGCTTTGATTTGATGACATGTTAAGAGCAGTTCTCACAGCAGTCAAATGGCCTTGCTAGCTGAGAAAGGGTGACGGAATGTGGACCTGCTGTTGTCAGCCCAGAGCTTGATTTACAAATGCTGGGGTGTATATGATCGGTCAGAAAAGGGCTCACTTGCTGTGCTCTAAATCCAACTGAGAAAAAAGTCCTTACAGTATACCTGCAAAGGGAACAGATGTTTTGCCTGCACTGAGCCAAATTCTGAGGCAACCTTCAGCAACTTAAAGGTCATATATTCAAAAAGGTTGTGTAGGACACATGATATAACACAATACTTTTTACTGTTGATTGTGAACTAGTACTGTATTGCATTCATTTGATTTAATAGAGAGCAAATGTTTCTCTGTTTTCATTAAAATTAATTGTAAGTCAGTGGTTGTCACTCTGCTGCCTAGCTTTATATGTAATTGTTGTATCAAACTCAACAAATTGCTGCCTGCTTAAATATTCGAAATAGTGGCTAACATAAACGAGCTGAACTTTAACATCAAAGCTAGTATTTTTTTTAAAGGTGGAAATAGTACACTTGTAAAAATCTTCATTTAAAACTATCTATAAAAGTTTTGTCTATGTGGTTCCTGTTAGAAAATCACATACTAGACTCAAAATGCTTCCAAGTTACAGTGCAAGAAAACAGGCAAAACGTTGCTTAAAGAGCAAATGTGTTTATTTTAGGTGCATTGTGATGTTTCTGCGTTTTTTAGCAACAGTAGGCACAAATGGATCATATAACATCTTTAAATGAAGATGCACCTTTTTGTATCTGCACAAAAACATTTTTTGGGGGGCCTGGTGCTGTTAAAATTGAATAAAGGAACTTCTTAAGATTTCTGTTGTCCTTAAAAGCCTAGCCTTGAATCTGTGATGCATTGATTTCCTCACATAGGCTGTATGGTGTTTTATTTGGGAACTGATACCAGTTTTATTCTGTAATTATAAATGTAATTCCTGTGGGTAATACCTGTAGGTTTACTGTAGATAAGTCAGTCTGAAAAGCTCTTCAAAACTCTATGTTTTCCTCAATCTTGCAAAGTTCTGCATGCCTGGAGGGGCTTCAGCAATTCTGGGGGGAGCTGGATGCTGCTGCCAAAGTGCAGTTTCCAAACCAGTAATTGTCTTTTGGGTAGGTTTTCTGTTCTCCCTAGCGATAAACCTTGCAGAGAACAGCTTTGACCTGTTTCTATAATCTAGGGATTCAGTAACAGTAACTTCGGTATTAATTTGCTTTGTTTAAGGTAAACTTTGAAAGATCTTATTTAAAGACATCTATTTTTTTTTTAAGCTTCAGCGCCTCTGCAGAGGTTCAGTTGAGGCAGAAAGTCAAATTTAACTCGGCTGTGGATTGAGTCTTTATGGCTAATACTAAAGTGGACATTGACTAAGATGTTTATTCTACGTATTTACTATGCTTTTAAGTGTGAAACTTAATTTTCTAGTGCTGTTGCCTTGGTGTGTTGTACCTTTGAATTTATTATGTAACAGTATTTCAATTTTCAAAAAAAATGTTTAATGTAGTCATATTTGAAGTGAGAATGCGTGGGTGCCAATAAAAGTAAAAATCTTAAATAAATCTTTGTAGTCTAATTAGCAGGTGAGGGGCTACATGAGCCACAGCTGGCTGGGCAATCTTCCTTTCTTGTTTTGTTTTTTAACTTTCAGTTCAAGTGGTTGAGATACGTACTTAAAAATCTGTCAATATTAAAGGTCCAGACCCTTCTTTTAGGTGATGATCGGGCTATACAGGAAAAAGAAGAGAAGCCTTTATATTTTTAAGATTAAAACACAAAGTATTTTAAAAAGGTATTTTTTTCTTTGTACATTTCAAAGTAACAAGCATAAATCTGCATCTTCTCCATTTTAAGTGACCTTTATAAAATTTCCACAGCATTGTTATTCTTATTGGGCAATTTGCATGATTTCGGTTTGTCCATGTTCAGTTTATCATATTTTACAGTTATTCAGCAACAGGGTTTGTGTTTTTTCAGGAAAAAAAAAAAAATTGTGGTTGTAGCAATCTGAAAAAAAAAGGGAACTGACTATAAAGTGCTAAGAGTGTTAGCTTCTTTGAGCTAGTGTCACTGTTTAACACAGGCCACCAGTACCGTTTTGGTCAAAAATCAAAAACACAGCACCATATGAACTGCTATGAAGAAAATCAACTCTATCTTAGCCAGGACCAGTAGCGTTAGTAGAAAGTCTGAAGGAACAGCTTTAAGAATTTACTCACTTGAATACCTCCTGTCAATCTCCTATTAAACCTGGCATTTTCTCAAAATTCTTCCCCCAAACTCTCAGGTGACGTTGGGCAAATGCTTCAAGTATTGGGTTTTTTTCTTCCTTATTGCTGAAGCAGGCCCTCTCCAGCAAGAGAGTGCCATTTGGATTTTATTGCATGTCTCCTGCATAGTAGCGTGAAGACAGACAACATTTGGCCAGTATTAAAGCCATAGGCTTGTTTTCAGCTAGTGCAAGATGGTGGAATCTGGTATTTCTGTTGGCAGGCTGGGCTGCCTAGAAAACAGGGCTGCAGCAAAGGCAAGGAATGCCAGCATGGAAAGTTTACTGGCAAAAGTCTGGTTCTGGCAAACATGATGTAAATGAAGGTACGTTTCAGTGATAGCATTGCAGACTGGGACTCCAGAAATGAAGATACATCATTTAGATGCTTGATGAAAACTATGGGATGGAAGACAACCCCTAGATTGACTTAATAGGTGTTATTTTAAGCTGAATGAGAATTGTGAGTTACAACTTCTCTAGAGGTAGAAGTATGGAAGCATAGTACTTCCCTTTTTCTGTGCAACAAGGTCACTGCAAAACCTTCCTACAATGAGTAGTAGTGGAAAGTCTCTCTTGTAATTGAGAAGACAGGAGTGGAGGCCTATGCATCCTGAACTATAGCTGTGGTTAAGTGATTAAAATTATAGTAAGATGTTACTAGTTTCTTTCTTAAATGTGAAATCTAAACTACTCACAAAAGGTCAGATTTTATGAATTATTCTTAGGTTGATTCTAAGTGTAATGTTGTTATTTGGGACATCTGTAGGGCTCAGAGATTTGGTTAAGGGCACTGGAGTTTCAATAAGAGGATTTTGCTTTTCCCTGACCCTGTAGACCTTTAGCAACTGTGGTAAATAGGTGTCCAGTGGAGTGGCTGATAGGACAGAACAGAAGTCTGTCACTGGGACGTGTGTTTTTTTTACATTCACTCACATGCTGAAGAGCAGATCTTGCTCCTGTGACTCAAAGCAATCTTGCAAACCTGTGTGGGTTTGATTAGGTGTGACTTTGACAGTAACACTTGACTGGCACGTCAAAGTGAAAAGTTAATGTCCAGTCTGAATAATACTCTATGTTTTCTGGAATTATCAAAGAGTTGGGAGAGAAGAGGCTAATTAATTGAAAAAAATTTCAGAACGGCTGTTGGGAATACTTTCTGACTTGTGCATGTGTGTAAGTTTTCCACTGACTGACACTGGTGCATTATGTATAGCCTACAGGACAAACCTATCATTTTCGTATAATGCTTTGAGTAGAACATCATACTTATTAGAGAACACTAACCATAGGATTCCTAAAAAAACTCCAGCCTGCAAGTCTGTAAGTGCACCTCCTCTAGCTGACAAAGTTTTATGGAGAACCAAAGAAGGCGCTAGAGTGTAGTATCTGATTTGACTTTATGAGCCACCCTAGGTAAATTGCTTAGTGACACTGGCCTTTTAAAGGTGATAAAACACCTGTATCATCTTTTTAGTTCTGCTGGGAGTTATAATTGTTTAGCTTCTCTGCAGTTCAAATGCCACGGACTTTTTCACTTCTTTTACAAAACAGGGATGCTGTTAGCGTTGGTAAAGTTAGTTTTGCTTATAGAACGTGTTACGACTTGTGGAAAAGATTGTACTATAATTTGTTACAAAATAAGTTTATAAATGCTGCGTACTAATATAAATAATGCTGAGAAGAAGAATCTGTCAATAACCTGGTATTTTGCTGTAACACCAGAAAAAAATGAATAGTTTGTTCTTGGAAATTTAATATCAGCTGACATCTTGTGACCTCTTGATCAATACAGTGTTGTTTTGCTTTCTTAGCACATTGTATTACAGACTTTGGAATGCTCAGACTTGTTCATATGTCCCTAATTAAGGCAACCAGATCAGAAGTCTCCGTCTAAAGGTTTAGTAAATAAGTGTAGTGTGTATATAATGGATATATCAGCTTTAAGATTTATAATTGAAACGTTATGTAGGACTTTGCAGACAGATAATAAATTTTTTTTACTATTTCCTTTGGAATGAAATTCAAGATCATTTAAAAGGTTTTTAAGACCTCTCCAAGCATAACAGTCATGTGATCTTTGGCTCGGTAAAGCTTTGAGTAAATGAAGTACTACATTATAATATGCATGCTTAGTCACAACAGCAAAATAATGTCAGGAAAAGTGTAACATACTTAACTTCCAGGCAACATGTTTTTCAAAGTGTGTTATTGTGTGGTTTTAAAGTTGGCTGGTCTGACTGAATGACACAGACTTGACCACAGTAGAAATTATACGCGAGACTGCATACCAAATACATTAGGTAGAAATGTAATCCAGAATTTACAGTTCTGTATCTTGTATTAAAGCTTTTATACAAATGTCTTTCAGATGTATTTGCTGTGAAAGTATGACTATTCAGCTGCATCTCTTGTGGCAAACAAGGCTGCTGTTCAGTGTTTTGTATTGTCACTGAAGCCCTAACTAATTTTAATTCCTCTCATCCAGGGTGAGTAGTTTTCTCTCTGTAGCTTTAAGGCTTAATTTTCATTCTGTATTTTTCTTCAGGCACTTGTAAGGACAAAGATAAACCTCCGAGCCTCTCTGTCCTTGAGACTTTGAGGTGTACCTTGACAGCTTACCAGAACAAGCTGGAAGATACGTCTAATGAGGTAACACTTGCACTGTTTGGCTCTATATGTATCGCCTTCGGCCAGCAGCAGTACATACGCTTTGCTTGTAAATAAGGTCAGAAGAGTGGGAATGTTGAGTTGACAGTTTCATGTATACCCAAAGAAATAATCTCTGTCACTACAATTTCTCTAAGCTTGCCCTACAGTGATGTTTCACTTATGTTTTGGGGGGACAGGGAGAAAAGGTTGTTTCGTTTTTTCTTTTCAGTTTAATTTGGTTTTGGTTTCTTATTAACCCTGCTGGGGTTACTTTCTCGATAAACATTTGGGAAAACGAGCCATTCATACCTAGGATTTCAGTTAAAAGATTATGATTTAAGAGTTGGGCCATGTATACCACAGTATTCCTAAATATGTAACACTTCAGCCTCGACAGTCATTGATATAAGTTATGTAAATATGCATGCCCTTGTACATTTAAAAAGTGATGTAATTTTCTGAGATGAGTGTGTTTACGATGAAATCTCTTTTGGAACTATTTTGGGGTCTTTTCAAGTAAAATAGGACCATGACAATACTTTCTTTAAGTTATCTAAGACAATAATGGAAATATTTCAATTTTGGAAGTTGTAACCTTGAAAAAAATCAAATGTTTTCCATGCAGTCCTACTGGCCTTTTATTTCACTGACTGAAAAGTTACAATCTTGAATTTATTTTCTCATTTGTATTACTAATGCGATTAAATTAATCCTCTTGGGTGTAAATGTTTTATGAATTTGTGCCTTTAAAGGCTGTAGAGAGAAGTCAACTGCACTGTTAAAGCTTTCTGTACAAACTTGTAATTAGCTTATCTTTGGATAAAATTGGCAAATACAGAAAGGCAAGGTGTGATGCTACTGTAAAAATGCCAGTACTGTTTTTTTCATTTCTCAGTTTTGTCTTGTGTTTTACAAGTGCATAGTCTTAACTAGTCCCTCACAACGTTTTTTTTTTTTTAAAATAAAAAGAAAAAAAGAAAAAACGGAAGAAAAGTATATCAGCTTTGCCCCTTTTATTGGGAAGAGAATGGTCTCCCGCAAGACCTTTGAGTTTGTTCAATGGGCACAAAAATAAGTGACCATGGAAACAATTATACTTTTGTAAACAGCAAGCACTGTTAGGTCTCTCCCAGAGAGATAAGAGAACCGATGTGTACAGTCATTATGAAACTCTTCTGAGACCCAAGTCTGGAAGCTGCAGAGTAACTAGGAACATATTACCCACAGCGAATTGTTATTTGGGAGGAGGAATGTCACGTGATAGGCAGCACAGTTGAAAAGTCGACTCAGCAGGCTTTGGCTTAGTGATGTGCTTTGTTGTGAAACTGTGCCAGAGACAGCAGTGGGGAGACCAAGGGGGTGGCTGCTAAGAAAGCAAAGAGAGTATTCTGACAGAAAGAAGAATGAACTGTCAAGGAAAATAAATCGCAAGCAGAGCGGGACCAACTGATGACCTGCCACAAGACTTCCCAGTAGGACTGCGTGTGACTGACCCTGAAGTTGTCATATGGAGCCAGAGATCACCGAGCACCTTCATGGTGCACAGAAAGGGCAGTGCTCTGTCCTTCTTGATTACCCCTGCCCCCACAGATAACGCTGCTTTTGGCTTTTTATATATTAGATATGTTTAGTAATAAAACTTTTTAATAATACAATAATGCACAGAGGGACTATGAAGGGCACTGTGCAATAAAACCGGGATGTTTTAATACACAGCAGTAAGGGTTTAGTTTTGAGTAATTATGTAGTGGTTCTTTTTATAGAGAGATTTTCAACAAGACCCCACATATCGATGTATTTATTAATAAACGTGTACACCTGAATGTGTGCATGAAATATGCTGGTAAACCTGTCATGTGTCACCTTTAACTTACTGTGCTAACCATTAGATTAAACGATCTGCTTCATTTGTGTGACTGAAAGGTATAGAAGTGTTTTGGTTTTGGCAGATAACAAGCTTTTGACTTTCTGTATAGTGCAGAGGCTAGAATATGTTTGGGGAGAGAGAGAAGGCTAGTAAACCAACAAAAAAACTGGAAATATTCCAGTGACATTCTTACTATAATTATTTCTAAGGGTTCTGCCAGGTCTCCTGATTTGAGATCAAACGGATATATAGTTTCCAAAGTAATTTATAAATTTTGTAAATGGGTTATTTTACTTCTGAGCTGCTCCTTAATGCTCAAGTGCCGGCAATAGCCTGCACTGTAATACGTTTCTATTCGATGCTTTATTTCAGGCATTTGTAGTGCTAACCTCATCATCAGGGAACTAAAGATACAGGTTATAATGATGTGTTGTTATCTTTTTAAAAAGTGGAAACTGAAGCTAGTACACAATATGGTCATGAGCTACCGCTAAGGTGGTTGCTTGTAACACCACAAACAGTTCAGTAGTCACCATGCCTCTCTGGAATCATGCTGCTTTTTACGGGTACGTGAGTACTATCTAGCGCTCAGTAAAAAGTAGAGACCATGCTTGTAGCCAGACAATTTCTGCAAATGGCCACTGACTTTGAAAACTTGTTTTCTCAAACCGCTCCCCAGATCATAATCTGAATTTATTACATTTTCAAATGCATTTCAAAGTCTGTGCTTTTGTCAGATATTTTGAGAGTTAATGGGAAGGTTAATAGTGGACTCAGTTTGGGATTCTGCCACTGCTATTTGTCTTAAACCGTTATAAAAGAGTTTAGTGCTTTTGTAATGGCACATTATTTAGATTGTATGCAGTATAAATACTGTCAAAAGAACTAAAAATAATTTTTTTTTACATTTATATATAAAATTCTTCCTTTATATTCAAGTGATTATGTAACCTTTCTGTAAAAGCCTGTTTGACCTCCGTATTTTTCACAGCTTGGGAAAATGAAGGCTCTGTGTGAAAACATGACAAAAGAACTTGAGATATCCAAAGATAAAATGTGTGCTTTAAGTCAAGACTTAAAGGTATGGTTTCATGAACTTAACATAAAATTTGAAAGATTTGAAAAAAGTATCTTTGTGGATTTAAGGTACCTTTTTTTTCTTATCAGAATAAGTCTCTGTATCATTGTATTCTGTTGAGCAGACTGGTTTATCTTGCAAGCTTGTGTGAAGCCATGCTGCTTTATTCTTGTTATCACCTTAGACTACAAAAGTGATCATTTCAATGGTTGCAATTCTGAAATAATTTGCAATAGATTTAACAATTTGCAAACTACTTTTTTATATTTAACTCAGCATCAGTAATTTTTTTTCTTAACTGTTTTTCTCAAGAAAAGGAGAAGAAAATTTAATTACCTCGGTTCATATGAAAGCACATTTTATTAAAGCTGTCCTTTTCTTTGTTAATTTTTTTTGTTTGTGTTTATCAAACAAGTTAATGCATGCATGTAGCATCAGGTCATCCTTAACAGTTGTACAATGTGCAGCTCAAATTTTCTTAGAGTAAAATCTACCTGGGAACTAGTAAAAGCAATTGTGAACTCTTTTCTTTAGTTTCTGAGCAAGAATTTTTTGTTGTCTCTGTTTTTGGCTGACACATCACTTTTGTAATGTCCTGTCTGGTTACATCAGTGGCCGAGGGAGTGAGGAAGTCCTGAGGTCATGGTTAAACTTAATCTCCCAACTGGCAGTGTATTATATTACTGCCAAAATACAATGTCTCTACTCCCAGTGTTTCTCAGATTATTTTGCTGAGGATATACTGTTTTATCACTTCAGTTTAGTCACAGATCCTTCTGCAGCACTCATTGAATCTTCATATTAATTGATACTAGCACATGATCTCGTGTCATCTAATCTGAACTTTTTTACTAATTTATGTTCAGAAGACTTAAAACTTCTGCTTCTGTTGCTGCGCCTTTGTAAGGCACTTAAAAATTTTGCAACCCATTGCAACAGATACTTGTATTCTTCATGCAAAAACTGAGTCTCCTACTCACAGACGGTGCTGGTTTTTATGCGGAACAGCAGTGCCTGATCTCTTTAAATGTTTTGGTAATGAAATTGTATATATGAATGAAAACTAGATCCACTCTGAAAACATTTGTGTTAGAAATTTAACATTGTTTTAGTCTTTTAATATTTCCATTAAGAAGAATAAAAGTTGTCATTGTCTGCTGAATTTGGGAGTATCTTTCCTATTGTATTTCCTATATAAGCAGCTTTGATTTTATGAAAAACAAACAATGCTTTCAGTTTGACCTTTAGCAAACTTAAGCAATCCTGGAAGTCTAGTGCTTGTAGGAGAGGAAAGCATGTGTATCTGTCCTCTCCATCTCAGCAATCTTTTTGGCTGAATAGGGATAGGGTGTGAAGTTCTTTGTTTACCTTGTGAGATTTGGTACTGGTAACATAATGATTGTATTTGTGACCATTTCTGATTATTAGTGTCTTCCCATGGTCAAACCTCCAAAGAGAGTACTCACATTTATTTTTTTTTATCATGCAGATAAAGAATACAGTGGGTAACAGCAGCTGTCTGTGTTGCGTACCAACTCAGCTGTAACGGATCAGAGATTTACTTAGGAAAATAATGTATCTTTTCACTAGCTCTGAGAGCTCTCCACTCTGCAGAGGATAATTTGCGTCGATGCGTTCTGCATCTCAGTTGTGGGGGTAGAGGGGATTCCGAAGGTGACTGCATCATGGAGCTTTTAACTCTCAGACGGATTTCTCATGCCATCTAGTTACAAGCTGTGGAGAAGGACTATTGTCAGTTCTGAAATTCTGTTACTGACAAGATACAGTCAGCTTAGCCTGGAGTCTTCTGAGCACATGTGGCTATATGACTCTTTACTTCCTCAGATGCTGAGCACTGGACTAAGGTAACATTTTATAGAGTAAAATTCTTACCAGTCTTTCTGTTCCATGCTTCTGTTCCACAGGAAGCTCAGGATAACCTAACTGATGCCAATAAAGAGTTAAATCATCTGCACGCTAAGTGTGCAGACAGAGAGACTTTAATAGGAACTTTAAAAATGGAACTACAGAATGTACGGCAATGCTGGGAGAAAGAGAAAGTACGTGCCACAGAATCTGAAAATGAAATCCAGAAGCTTACCAGGGCTTACCAGAAGGATGTGGAGGTATTACCAGAGACAAGATGACTGTCAAAAAGAGTCTTTATTTAATCTCAACTTTATACATTTACATACATCAGATGGTTACTCTTGGTCTTAACAGATTTATCCCCAAAATATGATTTTAAGATATGTATTTTGAAATATGTATTTAATATCTACAAGATCTCAGGACATATTTGTTCTACTTCCTTCTATATCAGAACTAATAGCGTAACCCTTCCAGTATTTTGAAATTTTGAACAACTGAGTTTATTTAAAGAGCTGTGCCTGACAATTATTTCTTTCTTTCAAATTGAAAGTTAACAAAAATGTTTTACAATTGGAACATACAATAGTATCATCATCATCATGTGTTGTTAATTACTGATTCACATGGCAATGATAGATAGCAAATGTGGAACTGAAGTAGTTTTGCCTGCATGCCACAAAACCTAGAAATTCTTATTTGTGACCTATTAGCTCATTGTGGTTTGCAATATGTGGGAATTGCTTCACAAAGTCTTGTTTCAGAACTATTATCTCTCTCCTTATGTTTGTTTACAGATGTTAATTTTGTTACTTTTTCCCCCCAATGAAGCAGTACTAGCAATAGCAATGGTATTCTTTATCATAGTTGTCGTGCATATTGAGCTCATTACTTCCACAAATTTGGACATGGATGCCAACTGAGTAAAAAGGAAACATTCTTTCCACCTCTTTTACAGTCTGGTATTTAAATAGTGTCCACATGAAGCAGCTGGAATTGTTATACACATCAGATAATGATTAAAGTGAAGGAAACGAGAAGCCTAGCTATATTGTAAAGTCAGCATGTCTACAATACTGTGGTTGCGTTCAACATGTGTGAATTGATTTTTGGGTCTTGGGATCCCTTTTTTGATGCCAAATGGATAATTATCATCCTTGGTTTATCACAGCTCAAGCAAAAATGTCATGACGGTGGCACACTGGATTTTCCTTGGGGAATTAAGGGATCTGCTAGAAACAAAGTTAATCTAAACTACCCTACATTTTTTTTATTACCTAAAATACCATGAAATAATAGCATGAGAAAATGCACCTAAGTATAATGGAAAGGGCTCAAAAAACCCATAGTTTCCCAATTTCTTAATGTAAAGCGTCATCTAGGGCCCCTGGAAAACAACGGGAACCTTTGCAATGGTTTACTGACCTTGAATAAAGACTTTGTTTCTTGTGGCTTTTGAGGTACAGCTTTCTATTGTTTTAATCAAAGTTGATAAGTTGCATATATGTACTAAAAGGATGAAGGCTGGAATTTTTGTTGCATGCTATTGTTGCTAAAGTTTGTTTATAACTTCCATCAATTTATTATACTGCTGACTAAAATCAGTGTAAATGAATGAGAAATAGCTTGTGGAATTTAACTGATGAAGCTATAAGCCTATTTTGTCTGACTGTTTAGTCATACATAATCCATGCAAAAACGATTTTCAAAAGACTGTAGAGTGATAGTTGTATAAACACTGTGTTGTGCTGCCAAGCCAATCAGACAATTTTCTGTGTGCTGATATTGGAAGTGGGTACAATTTGAATGTACCTGAAAGTGTTAACATGAATGATTAAACTACTAACAGCATGGAAATTTTTATCTGTATCAGGTCATGGTTGTGGCCACTTCAGGCTTGAGCTTTCTCTATTTATATATTATGGGTAATTAGATAAATTTTGTAAAAACTGTTTTCTTACTCTGGCTTTAATATGTATGACTGCACATATTAACAAGGAATTGAATTTTGAAAATGTTTGAGAGTGAGCTTTGTAGGTTTTTTCAGCTGCATGGAGCTCACATTACTAAACATATGATGCGTCTCTTTGGATTCCATCACTGTTCAGATACAACAGTTAATTTTTCTTTTTGTCTCAGGAGAAGCTAACCTTCCTCCATAGCTTATACCAGCGTTTGGTAGCAGGCTGTGTGCTTATAAAACAACCAGAAGGCATCCTAGATAGATTCTCTTGGTCTGAGCTTTGTGCAGTCTTGCAGGAGAATGTTGATGCCCTGATCTTAGACCTCAACAGGGCTAATGAGAAGGTAAGTGTCCTTAGGCACCAGCTACCTCTATTAAATTCAGTGACATTTGTCCACATCACAGTATCATTAAAAAGGACTGACATTCATCTTATTTCAAAAAGAATTTGGACGTTAATAATTCAATACCATTAATTATGGCTTGTCTACAACTCAGTTTGATGCCATTGCTGTGGGCATGTAAATGTGACTGAAGTCTGTATGAAGTCTCTAAGCTCCACTTTCTGTGCAGGACATGCTAATAGTACTAGCCAATATTAGCCACAGGGACCTAATTAAAAGAAAATAAATTAATCTTACTGATGAAGCAATTCAAAGAACTTAGTCATTTACACTAATAAAGCAAGTCTTTATTTTAGCATAAAACAGAAACAAAATGCACTTATTCCAGGAACATCATCTTTAAATTATATGTTTATGATTTAGAGGTACTATCTGAAAAAATGCCAGTATGTTTTTTTGCTTTAATGGTAACTTTTAGACTATGAAATTTGTATTCAGAAATACAATAGAAGATACTTATTTTTATAAAACACGTCAATATTTGTGTAAGGGAGAAATTCATTTAATGTGAATAAGCTTACGTGGCCTCCCTGAAAATCCCTGTGTTTTTGTGAAAGAAAAGACCTCTTTTTAAATAACTTAAACCGGCACCACAGACTAACATATGCCACTGTTTAGGATTTCGGTTCATGTTCTGGCTCCATTGATCAGGCCAGTCCTACAGTCTAGCAGAGCGACCCCAGATCTTGGCTGCCCTGACATTTTGTTCCTGAGGCATTGGAAGGGAAAAGTTCCTTTGGATGTTTCTCATCTGCTGGAATTGAACTCTTCTGGCCGGAGTAAGGGATGGGGCTGGTTACAGTGAATTGTCTTCAGTCTGCCCATCATTTAGCAAATACACCAGTGGTCAATGGAAATTAATGAAGAGGGATAGTATAAAATCTGGATGATGCAGATTTGTACATTTGTATTTTCTTTTTGGAGTAAAAGAGGAAAGGAAATGGAAAGGAAGGAAGTGAACATCATTGGCAGTGTTTGGGGGGGGTTGTGTTATTGTTTCTTACTTTTCAATTTAGTATGGTTATTCAGATTGATTGTGAGGTTTCTAGGGCTCTTTTCAGGAATTTGGGGCAGTGTTGTTACCTGTGTTGTACCTGCTTTCTGAGAATAGAATTTTTCTCCTGCAGTTTTTTGTGAGCTATTTGGAAGGTAACTTGTGATACTCTGTAGCAACGAAATGTAGGCAGGTGTATTTAGAGGTCATTGTCAGGTTAATTCATTCCTCCATTTAGTTTGCATGGGAGCTGCAAAGTTAAACTATGGAGTGAATCCCTTCATGCTTGTTGAAAACACATCATAAACTAATGAGCTACTTGTATGGAAAACATTCTGTACGCCAAAATTTCCTGAAATTATTTTAATACTTAATAATATATGGAATGTCTTGCCTTTCCAATAAAATAAAAATAAAAGGGTTGTTTTTTCATTACTGTTTGCGATCCTTGCAAATTGCTAAAGGACTGGTGTAGTCAGATTACTAAGTTAGCAGCACAAGAATTAATGCACTTGTTTCAAAAAATCACAGTAAATGTCCAGTTCAGGTTTCCAACAAAGAAGGCAGCAGATACCTGCAAGGTGGTATAAAGATGGCAAAACTGAAACCAAGGAAAATTTGGTATCCCAAAATATGTCTCAGTTTTGTTGCAAGATTCAAGTAAGTAATCTGTCGTGAAAGGCTTTTAATTTGTTTTAATAAATACGTTGATGAAATTACAATTTAGATTTTAAGCTGGAATAGTCTGTGCTTAAGTTAATATGAACAATTAAAGTAAAAAGGTGTTTTGAGAGGTAAAATATATATATTTTTAAATGTTTGGTACGCAGATATCTCACCTAGAATATGTTTGTAAGAAGAAGTCCAGTACTATGAAGGAGCTTCAGCAGAGCCAGGAAGATGCTTTTAGCAAAATGGCTGACCAGATGAAAGCACAGGAAAGCTGTTGGCAGAAACAAAAAACGTATTTGGAACAGCAGTACTCAGGTCTCCTTGGGGAAGTTCATGCAAGGGCACAGGTATGGTGCTGTGAACTTCTGGGTTTTTTTTTGTTGTAAATATTTAATGGGTTATATCAGTAATTTAAGCTCCTAACCAATTTAAGGTTGTTTGTGAATTTTAATATATCTTTAAAATAAAAATGCCAACATTGTGCTAATATTAACTTCACTTCTAATAAGAAATAAATTACTTTGTTAAAGCATGAAATGAATTGCTTAATTTGGTCTAGCAGTTTCTAGTGATTTTTTTTTGAGAATGTTAAAGCTGTAATATTTAAATTGCTTATTTTAAGAATTATATAGGGCAGCAGTTACTTTTTCAGTGTCATGTTTTGCAAAAACTCTGTGGAGTAACAGTAATGTGATGTCATCTGGGGATAAATTTAGATACATACATTCTGACCCTGAGAACCAATTAGCAGTTACAGTGGTAGATTTCAACAGTATTAAAGGACTTTGTTATACAGATAGTACAGTGAGCAGTGGTTAAACAATATAAAACTGTCATCATTGATTGTTGGAAAAGTTATTTGTGATCTAAAATTTTCACGCTTGTTCTACAACCACAATTCTTTAGTCTTTACAGTCACATTCCTTTACACGTGTTTCAGTTAAAAGGTGTTGCGAAATAGAGGAAATAAGATATGCGTTTTTATTTGTGACTGCCATCTGAAACTTACTTCATCAGAAGAAAGCTGTATTTGACTCAGATTTTGGGCTTGGAAGTTTTTGCACTGCGAAAAATGTATTTATGAAGACTTCCTTAGACAGAACAATTTGTGGTAATTCCCTGGGAATGAGTTAAAATCTTGTATATATTTTTTGTTTCATGTTTACATTTCACATTGAATATTGGCAATTGTAAACATCCATATGAGTTGAATAAGTGGCATCCATGCTTAGATCAAGTTCCCCCAACTTCTTATTTCTTCTGGATGTCTAATTTGTGACTGACTTCGGACCTGCAAATATCAGCTTAAGCATTTCCCTTTGTGGGATCCGTAGGGTCCATGGATATCTGCCATTAGGGCTGTCCTAATCCTGAGTGCTTGTTTTCGTAAGGCTTGACTGTGTTTTACCTGTTGGATTTTGAGCCTGTTAGCCATATTTGTCTGCCAGATCACTGCTTTAGTTGGATCAGAGCTCTGCAGACAGACTAATATTGTAGTCTTATTTCCATAGGAAACAAGGAAAAATGTGCCACAAGTTACAGAATGTTTTCAAAGGGTCCTTCAGATATTACTGAGCACCAGTGTTTACATAAAGATACAGAATGCAATATTTAAATTTAATTATTTTAACAGGTTTTATTCATTAAATTTTATAGGAAACATATAATCAGTGTAAGTGGAATATAAGTTGCCAGTATTCTATATTTTATTATACAACTGTGGGTCTCATCACTGTAGGACGTTTATTCTGGCACTACAAGCAAACTGTAGCAATTTGCCTTATTTTCCATCCAAGGACCTGAGTGTTAATTGCAGGCAGTTTAATGAACTAATCCCTTGTAAGTGTTAGTTCCTTTCTGGAATGAGATGAGTGCTTTTTGCTTTCCTGCACCAAGCTAATGGTACATCACAGGATGCATCCTTTTGTTTGTAGCTTTGTCTTCCACCAGTGTTCCATACCTTCTTCTAGGCATTTTCTCCTCAGAGCTCCTGGGTTGTGAATTCTTTATTTATTTCGGTTGTTGGTACATGTGCGAAAGCAAACTGAAGACTGTCAATTCAGACTCTCAGGATTTAACTGAGAACTGCACAGCAATATGAGTAATGTATCTTGGAAATTACTATCCTGGTTTCTTAGAACTGCAGTAGAGAGTTAGGGCTTTTCAGAATGGTTCTCCTTATGATTGAAATGTAACATTATGAAATCTGGAGGTTTTGGTAGCAATGACACCTCCTGCTGCTTCTGTCCCCAACCCGTGCTGTTCAGGGTCCCCTATGCCAAGATAGGATCTATGGATGTTAATAGGTACTACTTCACAACTGTTACTGTGAAGGGTGTTTCTGTAGGGTGGAAATTCCCAGACTGGCCTTATTACAGATCAGCAATAAGTAAGGCACTCTATAGATACTGCTCTTCTTTGTCCGTGGTCTCCATGTTTGGAGAGTCAATGGAGCTTAAAATTCATATCCTTTTTCCTTGCCTTTTGTAGCAGGGAGTGCAGTCCTCTTGATTTGATAGTGTGCCATTTTGAAAATGTTACTATGCCTGTTCCTTAACCTCACACAAATTATTTATTCAGACTGTGCACAATCTCATAGGAAATGTCCTCTGAATTTTAACTATCAGTTGTTGTTTGTTTATTATGTAGACATTTATTAATCTGTCCCCATTTTTTATGGCAACCACTTAAAATAGAAGGGTTTTGTTCTGATATGCAAAAATATGTTGTAAGAGAAAAATCCTGTAACTACTTTAAAAATGTTAATTTCAACAGAAAAATAAAAGGTGTGCTAAATAGGAAAGGGGAAAAGTCCTCTAGGGAGAAAAAAAATGTCTTTGGTTTTATTGGCTTTTTTTGTTGTTTGGAAGCCTTGCATTTACAGCAAGGCAGGTGAATTAGCTAAAGGCAGTGGTATCTTGCAATTGTATCAAAAGTCAGTGCAATCAGTGCAAAAGGAGGAGAAGTACCCATTACTATACTGTTGCTGACCCACCATGTGTCTTTGATAGACATATTCTGGCCCATGTGCTTAAAACATAGGAAAGAAGTGGAGGGCAGTTGTGTTGATGTTGTTTATTTAGATGTATAGATGTTTATATTTAGAAAAAAACACAGTTGAAATACAGGAAAACGTTTTGAAGTCATAGTGTCATTATATTTCTAGTTTCCAATTATGTTTTCATGCCAGAATAAAGGGTAGGGACCCAGTAAGAAGTAGGATAAAATAGTGTTGGTAGTAGTGCCTGATTTTTTTGTTAAGGATTTGCGGAATCTGCCAAGCTCAGTAGCCCAGTGAGGTGTTCCTCAAAACTCAAACTCTGAAGGAAGCCGGCTTGTCAGTGTTTGGAAGAGAATTCTATGTCCCTTTCAAATACTGCTTTTAAGCTTCAAAGAAAACAGTAGAAACAGTGTGGGGTAAGACAAAATCAATTATTAGCTGGTAAAACCAAGAAGGTGTATTTTCTTACAAAACTTTTACATTTCTGTCATCAGAGATTGTCTTGTTCACTTTTGCATATTATGATTTAACCATAAGCATAAAAACAGTAAGCTTTTTTAAAAAATGAACTTTAATTAGCCAGAGCACTGAATGTTAGTATTGCTGCCCAACAGCCCTGTAGGGATCACACTTTGTTTACTCAGATATTGGCCTTTCACCTGTGATGGCCAGAAACCATAAGTTGTTTTCTAAATTCAGCTTACCTTTTCAGTTCCTTCCAGTCATGCTATCAGGTTTTTTTTTCTATAAAAATCAAATACTGTAAATAATGCAGTAGCACTGGAAGTATTGTATATGTTCATACTTAATTTTAGAGTAGTAAAGTGACATATGAAGCCTGTAAATTGCATTTAGTAATTAAATCTTTTAGTTACCTACTCTATTTTTGTACTGCTGAAAGTATTTTAATAACAGTACAAATTCTTCCTCTTCCAAAAAAATAATAAAATATTTATTTGGTCAAAGACATTCTGAACTGACTAGGGTACATTGCTATAGAAGCATGGAATCTTTTATATCCATTCTAGGGAGTGTGGTGTATTTTTTTTTTTTTTTTTTGTTTTGGCCCTGTTGTGCTTGCAGGATGGAGGAGGGAGAAGAAACTAGAATGCCCCCCAGACCACTTGCTTGGGACCTGTACCAAATAAAACATATAGGAATGTGGCTAGATGATACCATTTTACTTCTCTTTTGAATCCTCTTTTCTTCGTCATACGGACTTGTCATTCCATTCATGTTTGCCTTTTTGTGTCCAAGTATTGTAACTGGAGTGTAAGCATTTAACTTGAGCTTGTGGATTCTTTGTGAACAATGCCTAAAATTTATTATCTCCTTGTATCACTGGATCCTGTGTAAATGGAGCCTCAAGTGTTTGTTCCAATCACAGAGGACTCTCATGCATCAAGAAGCCGGTCTGAGTCTCTGAGGTCCCAGCATAGTGTCTTGATTCCTACACAAGAACTGCATGTTATCAAAAGCAACCAGTCTGCATGCTCTAACCTTAGTCCTGGCATTCACTGGCTTGTTAGTCTCTTCATTGTTGCTACACCAGTTTACTGTTTCAAATCTCCCTCTTACCCTCTTTCAGGGCATATAGAGGAAAAGAAAAAATGTTCTGCAAGTTGAAAAAAGTCTGTAACGGCACTAGTCAAAACGAAAATATCTGTATTACACTGTTCTTTTGAAAACTCAATTCTGTATGAGACCTAATTAATCTGTGAATATATAAGTAGGGGGTTGATTACAAAGTAATTAAGAGATCACCTTTACTTCCCCTTTCCCAGCTGCTGCCAATCTGTCTAGGTTTATCTTCCAGAGTCTTCCTTCTTTTTTTCCTCTGTGTTACACTAGCTTTCTTTTCTGCTTTGAAGAGCAATGTTCCTTCTGAAATTGGAGCATGTAATTGCTTATTGTTAAGCCAACTCATAAAACTGTATTGTGGACAACAAGGTACTGTTGGACCTTCTGTGGGCTATTGCAGTACTGGTGGATTATCATCAGAAATCTGGAGTCCATCTGTAGTTGACGATTGTGCAAATTTTCCTCATACTATTGATTTGTTTTCATATATCAGGTTCTGTAACTGTTTGCTAGGATACTTTGACAGTCATTACTAATAACTTTTGTTCCTTTAATGTGTTATTTGAATCTGAAAAAAAAAGAATTTTAGCTTTTGTCTAGGTAAAAACGATTTTTTTTATTTTAAAAAATATCCTCTAGTTAATATTTTTCCGGGTTTGTTTGGTTTTTTCCCCTTACCCCAGGAATACCAAGAAACAGCAGAGAAAAACAAGGAAAAAATCTATGTCCTTGAAAAAAGACAGGAGAAATTGGCCCTTGAAAATGTATCTGTGAAAAATATGTTAATGCAGGTTCAGAAGGAGCATTCATCTCTCCTGGCAGCCTGTGCTCTCTTGGCTATGTCTTCCCAAAGAGACCTCCTCCAGGATCAGGTCAACATTTATGAATTAGTGAACCAGGAGATTAGGACCCTAGTTCATGCTCTCTCTGATGTAGAGGAAAACAATCAAGATGAAGAAAATCTGAAGAAAAGAAAATCCAAAGGCCTGATTCATGTATTCCGAAGAGGTGTGATTGCAGTTTTGGCAGCTAACAGACTTAAAGTTTTAGCCCAGTCTTCTCGTTCCCTCTTCTCCTGGGTAAATGGCTTCAAAGAAGGCATTGGAATTCTAGTTTGTATAGGAGATTCCAAAGACAAGCGTAATGTGTCAAGTAAGCTAATTGTTTTCTTCTTTGATAAGTGTTATGTCATATTACATGGCTAGTGAATAGCAAATAGTCATGTTATTGTTTATAGTGTGTAAAGACAAATTTAATGACATTTTGACAACTGTAATTTCTGGATTTGTGATTCCTGGATTTCTTGACAAATATAATTTCCCCTAAAAGGAAATCCTTAGTCTGTTAAGCACTGAAAAAAAAGTTAGAACTACACACATGAACTCGTACTGTTAGATACCGTTGACATTTGAGTTATGGATTTCAGAACTAGGTGTTACTGCATCTGTGATAAATGTCTTTTAATGTTTCTAAATGATTGACCGTCAACAATTTTTTTTAAATATATTTCCTCTTCTTTTATTAATAACTTTTAATATTTATTTCCTACTAAAAATGTGAAAAGTTCCTTTCTCATTCAGGTAAAATATTAGTATAGAATTTCTAAATTTTTCTTTAGAGATCATGTAGTCTTCCTGCCCCTTTCTGTTACCAGACCGGCTCACACTTCCCCCTGCAAGGATAAATGCTATCAAAAATGTTTCCCAATCCAGAAGATCTGTCTGCTCTTCTGTTTTAGTAGTTCTGGAAGCATATTTAATACAGTCTAAATTGTCCTGAAAGAAGAATCAATTTGTGGCTTATATTCTTAGTTTTGGTCAATTTCTGAAAGAGCTGGAGATAGTAGTGTGCCTTATCTGAGTTATTCGGTTTTATTGCTAGCTACAATTTTGTTTCACAGGTCGTGAAGAGGAACAAATGCACTGTGTTGAAGAACTCGGCTGGTTTACTAGTTCTGACCTCCTTGCTGCAATAATCAGTTCTGTCAGTGAATTACAGGATATTGTAAACAAACCAGGTAATTTTAGATCTATATTCTTGTAGTAGAAGATTAAAAAAAAATTGTCAGGGTGGTTACTTCATTTCCATTTTTAGGATTTTATCTAAACTATTCTGGATCAAATCTCTGGAGAGCTGTATTGTTGGAAGAGATTATTTTTCTTCAGTTGGTGATATGATACTTTATCATTTCAGTATATAGAGTCATGGAAGCAGAGGCTGGAGAGTGCATCTAGAAAGCATGTAAACAGTTTTACCTGCTTGGTTGTGAGACAGAAAAAAAACATCTGCACCACACCAACAGATATTTGGCTAACCTGTTCTTAAAACCTTACAATGAAGTAATATTTACAAGCTACCTAGTTATCTTGTTCGACCCTTCTAATATGGAAAATTATTTTATGGGAGCTCAACCTAATCTATTTGATCTGTGCATTTCTGAAGTGCAGGCCCTAAAACTGGCACATATTCAACCTGGGATGTTACCACTGCTGATTGAAAGGAAACAATTTCCTGCTGTGTTTTATATGATATGAATCTAGAATTTCCAAATCTGGAACACAGTTGAATTTGAGGGATACTATTTTCACCTGGTTTACTTGCTATCTTGTGGTTTTTGAGAGAGAAATAAAACGCTGTCAGTTTTCACACCATATATCAGTCCTTATTTTGTGTCTGCTGTGTTCCCTCTCTAAGGATATGCTTAATTAGATTTGTGTCTAGATTCCTTAATTTTCTCAGTCTCTCCTCATATAGAATTCTGCTGTGCCTATGGACAATTTTAGTGCCAGTCTCTGGAAATGTCACCTCTTGATTCCCAGCTGTTAACTATCTCCTTAATTTCTTTGCAGTGAGGACTGATGTAAGACCTCACTTGGTTCCTCTGCATTGCTGTCATCCTTAGTTTTTTGATACCTGGTAGTTTCAAAGTCCCAACAATTCGGTCACAAAATAAAAGTTATTAAAGGAAGGATAATTTATATGAATAAAGGGAAATCGCGGGACAGAAAGAAGGTGATACATTTCCCAGAAGCCTGAACAGTAAACTGGTAACAGAAGTCAGCCATTGAATCAAAAGCGTTTTGATTCAGTTCCAGGTGCTCTTTTCTTTGATCATTCTGTTTTCAATAACTTAAACTTACATCCATACAAAAAAAAAAGTTTGAACTGTGTTTCAGAATATTTGCGGGGTTTATACTGCAAGTGTTGCTGTGTATGGAGTGTTGAGTAAGAACAGCAAATTGAAAAAGAATCAAGCGAAACTGTACAGCAGCATTGATGTGCTGAAGTGACTAGTTCAAATACCCTAAACCTCATGATACTTTGCCGGTATTGAAGTATATGAGAATTGTGATGGACTCTTATTTGCTTGATACCCCTGCACTCAACACAGTTCAGATTTTGAGAATTAGGAAAAGCCATGCTGAGAATGTTATGGTCAGTCAGTTTGGTGATTCTTTCATGGCTTATCTCTATTTTAAGTCATTTTCACAGAACCTCAAGATCTAACTGCTCATGTATTGCTTGGAATTCTGTTGCTCATGAGATCAAAAGTTTCCCAAGAACCTTTGGTTCAAAAAATAGTAATAAATAATTTAAAGTTTGACATGAAATTTCCAGAAGTGATAAGGCTCTGAAGAAATATATTTGAAAGAAAGCTCACATACTTAGGAAATTATTTTATGTTCTGTAAGTCGTATTTCAAATAGGATTTAAACCTTCAAACTGACTTAAATTATTTTGGATTTTTTTTAGTGTAAATAGGTAATCTGAGAGGCATCTGCTCTCTTCAGATCTGAAATAATGGCAGTTCCAGATTAGACTGCACATCACAGGAAGGTGTAGGTGCTATCTGGATTTACAATATGGAATGGTTTGCTGTCTTAAAAATTACTTTTAAAGATGGCTAGGTACTGAGGAACCATTTGAGGCAGCTGAGAGAAACGAAATCTGGATCACTCAAATGACACTGGAAATTTTTAGGCTTGTGTGCTCTGGTGAGTTGAGGCACACTTCTTGAGCTTTTAACTTTTTAAAATGTGTTTTTGGTTTGACATTCGTGGTCATTTCCCTTCCCACTGTTCATTTGTTTGGTTTTCATTCCAGTGTGTCTTGGAATGATCTCTTAGCTTCAGTTTTGAATACAAGTTCATTAAAGTGTTGGGGTTTTGTGTTTTGGTGTGGTTTGGCTGTTTGTAAGGTTAGTTTTGTCGGTTTGTTTGAAGAGAATCTGTACTGCCAGAGAAAACCAGAGAAAGTAAAGGTCACGCTTTTTGAATACAAATATCAACTGTTACATACACAAAGCTTTTGAAGCTTAGCATGAAAATTTTCTTCTTGTGCAGTACTACTAAGTTCATCCTGCTGACTGTTCTATTTCACCAACACAGAGTAAACAAGAATTCTTTCTTCATCTGTCAGTGAAGTAAAATTTGCCACTTTTCACTCTTTTTCTTCATTTGCTCAATGTAAGAATTAATTGCTCTTTGTGATGTAACTGTATTTGTGTTAATAATTTCTTATACACATCACAATGTAATCATTTAATGCTTTCATTGTAATTCCTTGATCTTTCTTGGGCAGGTACTTAAAATGTGTATACTTAAACCGTATATTCTCTTCCCAGTGATTATAGATAGTTACTCGTGGAATTGCATTATATTCTCATTTCATCTTTCAAAGGAGTCAGTAACTTGCGTCAACGTACTTCTGTGTATTTGCTCCAAACTGCTTTTCATTAAAAAAATAAACAGAGTTGCTGATTTGCTTTTTATTGCCCATCCCAAGAAAGCGCCTTAAGTTGTGGATACTGAAGTATACTGAATAGCGGGAATCCTGGTTATGAAATTGAAAGATAGTTTCAAAATGCTGCAACACAATTGCCTGAGCTATTATTATTAATTGATTTTTAATGCAGTTAAACTGGAGGTTCTAGACATAGAGAAAGAGACTGCCATCCTAGGTACTGCACATACGGAGAAATACTGTGTTTTCTGGCAGGCAGGCAATCTTGTGTAAAATGAGATGCCAGGTGATGCCAGGAGATGCCAAAATGAAGGAACAGTAGCTTGTTGACAGTATCCTTGGTTAGTTAGTTGCCAGAAATCACCTCAAAGGAGAGGGTTTTTTTTAGAACATTTTGTTGTCATCTTACATGGAAGGCAGTACAAATGATGTTCTTTTAATTTTAGGTTAATATAACTAAACATTCAAACTAGTGAATGCGTCATGTCTGGAGAAAAGAGATGGTCTTTGAAACTGAAAGACAGGTAGGACAGGATAATCTGTGATAAGAGTTCAAATGATGAAAGTAGCTTATCTTTCAAGTGATCAGTAATGGAGAACCAACATAAGGAAAAAAGAAGAGCCTTGCCCAAAGTAGACAGAGCGTTAGAACAGCAGTTTTTGTGTCTGAGAATAATAATATTTTTTTTATTTCAAAGGATGTTTTTTTTCAGTTGAAGTGAAAGATAAACATACTGGATAATATTTTTATCTTTGGAAATGGATAGAAAGAGGGTTATCTTAGACATGAAGAAAAGACAGATTTACGACTAGCTGGGATTAGGGAGAGCATGTACTCAAAAACTGAACTCCAGTTAAGCACTGGAATCATTGGAATGGTGATATTTTGAAACCAAGCAGCAGAATGGCTCTGAAAAAAGAGTATTTGACTTTATCATGTGCTTTTTTTGTTTATTTGTTGCTTACAGGTAGATTTCGTCTCATGTGTAAATTATAAATTCTTTATGATGAGAATAATAAATATCAATTGTCATGTTTTGTTTGCTTTGAACCTTTGTTTTTATCCTCACAATATATAAAAAGAAATTCTTTAACTTACAAAAGCTGTGGTTATTTTTTCTGTTTATACTCCTAAGTAAATATTTAATTCACTGCAGCAACAGGAGATCTGCTGTACTACTGAATGTAAATAAGCTCTTCCATGCTTGTCATCTTACACTGATAGTATCATAAGACAAGTAATGACAGATTAAGACCTGCCTAGCAGAGGGAAAACTAAATTACAAGACTTTTATTAAGGCATAAATAAACCTATTAACTGTTATCTGGAATACCAATTAGTGGAAGGAGCACTGACAATTTTATTTATCAACATTAAACACAATTATTAATTACAGACCTGATGAATCTAGCAGTAAGCAGGACATGTTGGGTGTGCTGGGGCCTTAAGTCCATTATATGAGAAGGATGATTACCAAAATCCTGTGGGGAAATAAGTAATTGTAGCTGTAAAATTTTAATTGCCTTGGAATAAGGTAAATTATATTCTCTTGTCTCAGAATATAAATAGTATGGCATTAAGGTACCAAGCCTCACTAATTTTGAACAGCAAATGATTTAGACATCTATAGACGGGAGGGAAGAGGAGTCAGGAAACCCTCAGAAATTTGCATTGTAAATATTGCGATAAAATGATTTACCATGTGCTATCACATCTGACATATTTGACCTGGTTTGCATTTTCTTGCATCAATCTTACATGTTTTTTGAATTACAAAATTAGAATGCCCAAGAAAGACCTAAAGTATTGTATTGGAGGAGAACATGAAAACAACTGGAAAATTATTCTTTAACAAACAAATCCTATTCTTTAGAATCCTATCCTACCCTTCCATTCAAAGATTGATAGGAGTGTTCGTTGCTAAATATAGAATTTGTCCCAAAGTATCTGCGATATTCGTGTGAGCTCAGTCTTCCACTCTTCAATGGAAATTCCTTACTGAGTATTTTTAAGGTGCTATTTGTTGTTCTTGCTTTTTTCCACTGAAAAAACTCAAAACTAATAACCTACGTGATGTTTCTTTTTTGTTGTTGTGTCTTAAAGATCCAAAGCCCTGGCTTTCCAGACACTTGCTTGTAAGTGCAGCCAGGAACTCCTTTTCAAGACTTATGGACAAGCTGAATGTAATAATGGAGACTGTTCCACTAGACAGCAGCAGGAGCATTAGTTATCTGGAGAAAGACTCCTTGGTACAGAGGCTGGCGCATGGACTTCATAAAATAAATACCCAGGCCCTGGAAGCTGGATTGTGTGACAGACTACCCATTCTGGTATGCGTATTTATAGTGCTACTTCATCTAAACAGTAAGTTCACAGCATAAGTGTTACAGCGAAGCTCTCTTGATAGCGCCATTAATTTTGTTTCAAATTGTTTGAGTCCATTACATTGAAGTCAGCTACACAGGGGATCAGAAGTTCGCTTGCGACACCCAAAAGCATTAGGATGTGAATAGATCTTTTCTTTCATTGTCAGAGAGTTTCAAGAAGAGATTTGATGTATCCAAAAAAAATATTTTCTGAAGTTGTATCAGAATTTTATTTGCTTTGTAAGAACAAACTTGCTTTTGGCTTGAACTACATGTTAAGGTTTGGGTTTGGGTTCCCCCCCACCATTTTTCTCCTTTTCACTGTTCTGTCTTTCAGTAAAGATAACCTTCTTCCCTTTAACCAAAATGAAAGGATAAACTCTCACATAATCTGTCTTTTATTACGGGCCTTATGTGAAAACAGGTACTTTCTTAAAACCAGTAACCCTCAACAGCGGGTGAAACAGGTTCACATTTTTGAACTCGTGTCTGTCTTCTAGAGGTGGATGACAAAATGACAGCTTCACCTAATTTGCTTGAGTATTAAATGTGATTGATTGTATTGCTAAAATAGCACATTTTATAGCACATGAATTTGTTCCTCTTTGCTAACAGAAAAGCATAGCATCCTTGCAGAAGCAAATATTTGAATTTACACAAAGACTTCATACGGCAGAAGTGGAACGCCGCTCACTGCGCCTAAAACTTGCAGAATTCAAATGGAATTTCAGTGAGTTGAAAAAAGAAGCTGACAAAGCCCAGAGCCTGCAAGAGCAATTAAATCTGTTTAAGCAATCTGTAAGTATATTTGATTTAGAGGAGACTGCTTATGAGAGATCTTCCTTTTTACACTTTTTTTTGATTTGTGTTCTTCTGAAAAACAAGTATAAAATCAATCCACTATGAACAGAATTTTCCAGAATACTTGACTTGTAAATGTCACTAAACTGTAAGTCAGATGTATTTGGAAGTATATCCTTTCCACTAGAGTTTCTCTTTGATTTGTAGAATGGGGTATTCTGTGTAAACTACATGTTTGGTGTTCAGCAGCCCAGGTTTTCTTCCATATGTTGAAAATGTTGGTGTAATTTATATACCATAAAAGGATTTATAGATTTCACTTCAACAGAGTAAAGTCAGCTGGAATGAGGGTATCCAGTAAGTGTGTTCATGAGAAGTTCATAAAGCATAAATGTAGTTTTTAAACTCCGCATGGACATTGCTGAATATTATGATAGACATTTTACTGTATCTTTGAGTATGGGTTATATCCTGAGCTAGTCAGTGCAAATTTGAGTGTGGCTGTTTCCTTGAAGGAGTACGTTTATGTCAAGGAAAAAAAAAGCCCTCTTCTACATTCTCAGTAGCACACGTCCACCAAATCCCTCTGACCATTTGCTGTTGCTGATCGATTTACTTAAACACTATGGGTTCACTAACCTGTAAATAGCACTTTTTGGCAGGAATGAGAAGAGACAAACGTTCCTTGACAACTTGAAGCCACAATATAGCGAGTAATGGACACGGTATTTGAGGGATTGATGCCTTTTTGTGGGTTGTCGGTTTGTTCCCTGTCATACTCATTGAACTGTGCCTGCTAATCATCTTCAGTTTTGTTCTTAATGTGTTTTTTTTTCCCCCCTTACAATTCTGGGACAGTTAGATTACATTGTCACATTTTAGATTGTTGTTCATATGTAGATGATGATTTTCCCTGGAGAATTAGTTCTTCTTTCTGGAACTTTTTGGGGAGAGGAGAAAGAGTCGAGGAAGATGTTTACAAGGATTAGTAAGATAGGCACTGAAAAGTGGGAACTTGACCTGCTTATTTCCTTCTAAATATTGATTCTTTATAATCCGGCTTGCTATTTTTTATAGAATAATGAATGCATATTGTGTACAGTACTCTGAATGCTTTTTTGAAAAAATACAGTGAACAAAGTTGCCTGCTGTTTTATTGTTCAGTGGTCTGTCTTCATATTAAAAAAAAATAAATTCATCTTTAGCGCACTTTTGGTTTAGAATTTGATATGTTTGCAAGTGGAAGTCTGAAAGTCAAGCATGTAAACAAGTGAATATAGTTACACAATCAAACACAATTTGTTTCCCTTATCAGAAATTGATCACCCATGAGAGGTTTGAAAGTGCATGTGAAGAATTAAATAATGCATTACATCGGGAGCATCAAGCACAAGTGCTTTTGAATGAACAGGCGCAACAGCTGCAGGAGTTAAATAATAAACTAGAATTGCACTCCAGTGAAGAAGCAGATAAAAATGAAGTCTTAAGTGAGACTGTAAAGGTAAGATGATTATCCTTAAGAAATAGGCACCAGCAATTTACCTTTTGGTGAGTAAGCCAAATCTTGCATTTCTTGTTCAAATAAAATTATAGGAGTAATTGCACAGATACTACTCACTCCATTGGAATCTTAGGGTACTCAGAAAACACTTCCAAGATGAAACTTAAAGGTATAACATCCGTTTTCTGCTTTTGGGACTGGACAGTGTACACCAATATATGTAATCTGTGAAGTGTCTGATTTTTACATGATACATAAGAGACAGGAGTTCTAGCTATCACAAGGTGTTTGCAGACTATAGGAATGTATTACTCCATAATTCTCAATCCTTTCCATGGAGGTGTTTTGAGCCAAATTTAAGTTGTGGACTTGTTGCTGTGTACTTTCCCTAAATTTCCGTTTAAAATCCAGGAGGTTGATTGATGTCTTTTAATTCCCTCATGACGTTTACTACAATAGTTAGCACAAAATTGCATTGCAGTTGTATCGGCCTGTATCTGTGACTGTATCAAGGAAGGAAACAAGATCAGTTGTGGTAGCATGGCAACACGCATTCATGATCTAGTGTCTCTTAATTATTTTTTTTCTTCAGATGATTTTATAATGTATACTTCCTAAATCATCATCTCACCTTCAATTTTTATCATTGTTTTTTACAGTTCCAAACCTGTGTTGAATAAGTACTTCCTAAATTCAAGTAGAAGTTTAACACAAACTACTTTGATGCCAAGGAGCAAAAGGACTTTTTTTGTTTTGAGCTCTACATGTTTGGGGTTTTGAAATGGAAGTTTTTCATAAGCTTTTTTCTCCCACAGTTTACCACAATCCCACTTTATTTATGGCTTTATTCCTGACAGACAGAAATGGTCTCTGCCCTGTTTTTTCTAACTGACAGACCTTTTTCTCTTGGCAGATCGGTTTTTGTGACTTAAAATGTTTTTGTGTTTGGGTTTTTTTTTTGTAGCTCGTGTTTTGCAGTACAGTGGAACAATCTCATCTCTGCAATAATCAACCCTGACCTTGTAAAACAGTGTTCTTACAATTGCATAAGCTTTTAAACTCTTAAATAGTACGGAAGTATGGAAAAAAAGAACTGCTGCTCTGAAAAAATACAGTAGAAAAACTATGCCTTCATCTGAAGATACAAAATAATCTATCAGTCTAGACTAAGTATATATAAAATGTTGGAGAGTGTCATGGTGTACAAGTGATTTTGGATGGAGTAGAGTGTCATGGAGTAAAAAAATTTGCTTTGAATTCTTTATTCATAGTTTTTAAACAGGTAACAAGGGGAAAAATAAAATATTAGATACTTTTGCTTTTGGTAACTTATTTTTAAACTTATTCACAGTTCAGCAGCAATCAGTAAGGAGATACTTAGGTATTCACGTGCTTTCATAAAGTAGGCTTATTAAAGAAGTAATACTTAATTTCTTAGCTTTATCGGTTCAGATTTTAATCCTGTATATTTTTATCTTCTTAATGGCATATACCATGGAGACATCCAAGGTAGCCAATTGCATTCAAGGTCAGCTAGAACTAAGCAACTCTTTTACACCACTTTTTTTATTAGAAGAGGTAAATCAGTAGCTCTGATTCCCCTGCCTTAGAAGAGGAACTTTTACACAAATGCTACACAGGCATCTGTAGCAGACATAATTTTTAATCCTTATAGAAGCATGTCTTAATTCCAGTAAAGTACTTTTTCTTCCTATTGACAGGCACTGTGTGTATATTTACTTCCTTTTAGTACCTGTTAGTGCCTGTAATAAAAACAATATCTTTTTAAGGTTTAATTTATGGAGCATGTCCTATAAATTGTTAATGAATAACTCTGTGTGCATTCAAGTGCAATATATGTTAAATCATGTAACTTGCTACTGATCTGCCCCAAAGTGGTCTTCAATACATGTTTTAGAAGAAGATACCCTAAATTTTTGGTGTATTTACTCTGCAGAGTTTAGTGAAGCTGCCATTGATTTATGACAGCAAAAGTGAGAAAATAATCTCATCCAAATGCTTTGATAATACTCAGAGAAAAACATTTTCTGATGGGAAGGTCTGGAGTGTTTATTTCCACTAGCTATTTTATTTAAATCATTATATGCATATTCGGTGTTCAGAAAGTGCGACATCCTTTGCTAAACAGACACATCTGAATTAATTAGATTCTGATGGAGATTGGGATTTCCAGGTTTGGGAGAAGTGGATGTTTTCCCTGAGCAGGCTCTTATTTCTTGGTGTGGCTTTCAGGTGAAGGTGATACACAAATTGCTACTTTTTGTTGCTTTTCCTCTTCATACATTTATGGCCACGTATTTCCCTGAAAAATAATTTCAGTTATTTATACAGTTCCTTTTATTAATACCATTGCACACACTTTGCAAGTCAGTTTTGTAGTTGGCTATTTCTGCAGATGATGCAGTACTCTAACTTTTAGAAAGGTTAAAAGGCCTCACTTATATGAGGAAGACTAAGTGATTTTCATGCTTCTCAAATAGAACAGCAGAGATTACAGTCACTATAAGAACCAAAATAGGTTTGGGTTTTTTTTTTTCTTAAAGTCTCTGACATCTTGTGTTGAAACAACTGTTAGGATTTGGGTGCACCGAGGGATACTGTTGATCCCCAAAAACTTGTTTGTCACTTTGTCAAGAAATGGCGTTTCTGTACATTACCCAGTTAAATTAAAGCAGTGTGTGTATATATATACACACTATATATAGTGTGGATATATATATATAAAATAAAAGAAAGCAGTATAGCTGATTACCATTAGCATCTAATTTAATAGAGAATTTATATTAATCCATTTTAGCATGTTAAAGAGAAGCAAGCTCCCCTCTGAATAGGTTAGAAACTAAAATTCATGATTCATTAATTAAATGTTTTTTTAGTTTCCTTACTCTCTATGTTCTGAACAGCTAAATAATTTACAAAGTAGGTAGGAATGGATTATCGTTGCCATCTGCTGTATCCTTAGTCAAAGGAGGTCATATGTTTTCTTATTACAATAAATTACAGGTTAAACAGTTTTGTCATGTATTTCAGTTTGCGTTAATGCTATTTGTAAAATAAGTCAGCCTGCTCATTCGCCTTGTCTGTTACATAACTTCCACTACTGATAACTTCTTAGATAGTCTTCAAAGAGTTAGGTCAACTAAAGACTTGCGCTGGAGCTGGTCCTTTGTGCTTCCTTGTTTAAAGATTGCAATGCATTGTACATGGAATTTAAGTATATGAGAAGGGATAGTCTTCCCAGGCTTCCTTCTAGCAGCTGCTAGCTTTACGTAATAGGAGAGACACACAGAAAGCATCCTGTTGCGGTCTGGACCTGAGAGCTTATCTTCACAGAAGGAAAGAGAAGATGACTGACAAAGTCTGCATTCTGCTACTCAATCTGCACTTCAGATATCTAAACTTAAACTTCAGCTTAAATTTCTCTTCTGTGGTTTGTCCATAAAGTTTGTTTGTTTTATTGTCTGCTTTATTGTCTTACTTTTTAAATATCACAAACTTGTGCATTAAATCACAGAATCACAGAATGGTTAGGGTTGGAAGGGACCTCTGGAAATCATCCAGTCCAAACCCCCCGCCAGAGCAGGGTCACCTACAACAGGTTGCACAGGACGGCATCCAGGCGGGTTTTGAATGTCTCCAGAGTGGGAAACTCCACAACCTCTCTGGGCAGCCTGTGCCAATGCTCTGCCACCCTCAAAGTACAGAAGTTCCTCCTCATGTTAAGATGGAACTTCCTATATTTAAGTTTGTGCCCGTTACCTCTTGTCCTATCACTGGGCACCACTGAAAGAAGACTGTTCCCATCCCCCTGTCACCCTCCCTTTAAGCATTTATAAGCATTAATAAGATCCTCCCTCAGTCTTCTTTTCTCTAGACTAAAACTAAATCTTCTCTTGGAGATAAATAATTATACTCTATTCTGTTTAGCACTTTGAAAGCAGCTCTTTGTGTTATGGTGCACAGCTCTCCTTGCTTTGCTTCTCTGTTAGCCTCTGAGATTCAGGGTCCAAGGGTTGCCCTGTTCTTTTTCCACTTTAGAGATCACGTCATTAGGAATATTGATCCCTGCGTTTCCTCACAGAACAAACTTATTTCCAGCCAGGTTGTTAGGTCTGTGTGTTTCCTTTATTCTGTGCCTATAACATTCATCAGGTAGTATCATCATGAGTAGTCTGGAGGGGCTGAGGTCAGTATGTGACCTTTAGAAAAGTGTTGTATTTGCTCCATAGTCATCAATGAAGCAACAAAGCAACTACCAACCAAGTTGTTGAAGGTCTGCCTGAATTTTTCTGAGACAGGCTTTCTGGAAGATATGCAAGTAATGAGCAGAATAGGAAAAGAAATAAAGTTAAAATTTGTGATTATGAACTAGTTATGTGTTTGCATTAACGTGAAGTTCAGAACAACAATTCAAAATTTTGCAGTATGAGTTACACAAACTTAGTTAGAAACTCTTATTTTGGAGGGATATTGGCTTTACCGTTGTGTTACTGTTTTATTTCTCTGCAGTTCCTCTTTTGTCCAGTTTTGCAAGTTGAGTATCAGTAATAGTTCCTTGTAATTTGAACAATATTAAGATTTTACATTGGAATTCGAAGAGTTATTCAGACCAGGTGAACGCTTTTTGTTACTTTTTAAATTATCCCACTACAAAATATTTGATTGGTTAGTAGTCAGAATATTACTACTAGAATGGTTTTGTCAGGCAAATTCTTTACTATCTTTGTATAGTAAGAAAATAATAAAATAATCTCCAAAATTCCTTCTACTTCATGTTGAGAGAAGAGTGAAAGGAATTGTCAGTTTATTACATTCATGTTCAATCTATTCAGGTGTAAAAATTATTTATCTAATAAGAAAAGACATCCTTATGTTAGAAAAATTTGTGTTTTATTTTTAACGTGCCGAAGAGTTTAAGATAACTGAGGAAGATGCTCTCACCTTTATAACAATTTGGGTGTAATTTAGGCACTGAGAGA